AAAGAAAAAGTGAAGAAGTTGTTGAAATAAAAGTTATGAAGTAAATGTGAAGAAGTGGTTGATACGTGAAGTGGTCATTGAAGTGAGTGGCAGAAAGGTGGCGTGAGGAAATCAAGAAGCAGTTTGGGAAAAATCATTATCACAGCCTACAAGTGGGTTGTCTTCTTTTGACTATAAAAGATAAAAGGCACACTTCATAGGCAAACAAAGTAGAGTTGGATAGAGTTAGAAAATTGTAATTTATTTCTTTATGTAATTTTCTTTAAAGTTTGTTTAATTTAATGCAAGTTATTTCCACAAGTTTCATCCTCACAAGTTTTATATCAAAAGCAAATAGTCTCTGTTTGGCTACAAGTGTAGTACTGTCCTAGTTCAGGACCTGGACAAGAATCTAAACTGGTTCTGTTGTAAACCAGTTAAAAAAAAAAATTGCCAATTCAAATTGGGGACTTATTTTGGAACATTCAAAAGCTTGGATATTCTCATTGGAGCACAAGTGGAAAAAACGACAAACGATAACTTTGTCTTCCAAGTAAGTACCTCAAATTTTTATACCGCGAATCTTCCGTTAGCGGTTTCATTTTTTTTTAGAAAACTTAGTTTTTTAGGTGATTAACTTTTGTATGCATATTTTAGGATAGAATAACTTAGTCGTAACCTTAGGTTCACATTTTCTTCTATTTTATTTTATTTTTGTATTTCTTTATCTTTAAAAAAAAAAATTTCACACTCTCACTCCCTTTTTATTTTTATTTTAGTGTCTTATTTGTGCATCTTTTAATTAGCATTTGCATAAGGTACTTAAGGGCAAAACACAAACAAGATACGGTCGGGATTTCAACACCCCGTTTTCCGTGGCCCACACAAATCATTAAATCCTTGCATTTGTCAAACCCGAGCCAAATTTAATTTAATTTTAAAATCAAGTAGACATTGGCCATAGGGTTTTTCACATAGCTCATAGGATCCTCTTGGACATAATTAATTTTTGGTCACTCTAGTGAGTACCTTCCAACTCGACAATGTCTAAGGAAAGTTTTGTCTAAGGGTGTGGGCGTACCATCATTAAGCAGGCTTCGTCCTCCCCACACTTCCTGGAAACTTTCCTAGTTGTCTGGTTGGCAGGCCTTAATTGGTAAGTCTTTAATTATTCTAGAAAAGAGTAAGAGCTTTTTCATAGGAGCTTTAATTACTTAAAAAAAAAAAAAAAAAAAAAAAAATCCTCATCCTTGAATTTAAGCTCAAGATTAAAAAGCCAAAAATATTTGTGTGGTTTGTGTGTGCACTCCAGTGTCTAGCCCATTTTTAGGATCTAATTCTCAAGAGCTTTCCCTTAAAAAAATATATATTAATAATAAAAAAAATGTGTGTGCTCTTTGGTGTCCGTTTTGTATGCCTAACTGGTTAAGAGTTAACAAACGATTAACCCGTTGTTCCAGTAATCCTTCAATCTTTGCTTTGGAGAAAGCATTCTTACTTTCTTCCAAATCCAATTATTCTCCAATGGATCCACTTGTTCAACCAGTTCCACCACTTGTTCCACCAACACAACCGGTTGTCTTACCTGTTCCTAGAACTTTGAATGACTATTTTGCCCTTATCACAGCCAATCCACCCAATTGTATTGTTCTTCCTCCAGTCGGACCTCAATTTGAGATTAGAGCCCATATCATTAATATGTTGCCTAAATTTCATGGATCTGAAAGTGAACAACCTTATGTCCATTTAGGGAAGTTCCTAACCATTTGCAGTACTTTCAAAAATTAGCATTTAGATGATGAAGGTGTCAAATTGCGTCTATTTCATCTGTCCTTAGATGATAAAGCTTCCTCATGGTTCAACTCTCTTCCTCCAAACTCCATTAGAACATGGGATGAACTTGTTAAAAAATTCATGAATAAATTTTATCCAATGCAAAAAACGGAGTTAAGGAGAGATGCCATAAGCACTTTCAAATGGAAAAATGAAGAACAATTCCATCAAACTTGGGAACGTTTTCATGATTTGCTTCTCAAATGCCCATATCATGGCTTTGGTGGAGCTTGCTCTCCACTTTTGAGAGCAAACTCTCTTGTTTTGATGCATTCTGGAAGTTGTTTTAGGCACTGTTTGGATATGTTGGGGTTTCCGAACTGTTTTGGGATTACTAACGAGGATTCTAAATATTATTTCATGTTATATAAAAACCCCATATTACATAATTTATATCTATATGCTAATGGATTGAACAGTATGAAAGTTTAAATAATTTTACATGATGTTAACGGATATAAATGATTTAATTGCTTAGTCTTATTTTAGCAATTTAGATAAATGGAACATGATTTTTAAATCTTGTATTGGATGCATAATATGGTCATATACATATTAGATTTTTTATTATACTTATTTTGAGGATGATTGATGAACTATTTATCCTTGTTCTGTCAATTATATGGATTTTGTGGATTGTATGCACCGATATGGGACGGTGGCATACTAGGGACGGATTAGTTCAAAATACTAAATCCTTCCTACTCTGGAATAAGGGAATGGATTAACAATAATGTTGCATCCTACTTATATATCGTGTCAAGGCAACGAACAGTTGAGCGGCACTACTTTGGTTGTGGATGGATTATAAATATATATTTATGGTACCACGATATGAACTTGAGTCTCAGGATCGATGGTTAGGGAGCGTATATGCATCGGGATGCATAGCTGACTATGATGGTTTGAGGTATACCCTGTTAGGTTTATGCACTCATGCCCACTTCAGGTGTATTTTGCATGTTGCCTACTAGTCAGGTTGAGACCGCCTAGTAGTTCAGTGAGAGTCCCTTAGTGTTGATATATATACCTATGGACTAGATAATTATTGTTGCGTTATCTAGGATGTATCTGCGTATCGGGTTTCAGTTTGGATTGTAGTTAGAGTAAAACTTGTTCGTGGGCTTGACCTATTATCATTTTTCTCAGATGTTCGACAGTTCCAGTCGTAGAGCTTGATCGTGTTAAGCAGAGACAGTCACTCATTCCTCCGACTACGTAGGGCTTTTACTTATGTTTTAGTTTTGGATTTCCTTTTTAGTTCAGTTATTTATTTTCTAGCTGGAATATTATTAGGGGTCCACTAGATGGATTCCCGAGTTATAATAATATTGGAGGTTTTGGCAGTATTGGATTTTATAACTTTTAAGGATTATTATTTAGAATTCTTTCAGCTTATTTAATTATTTATTTCTTAAATCTTTTGTATTCAAATGCTTGTTTATATACTTAATTGTCTGATATCCCTCAGATCTGTGCTCGGACTTGATCACACATGGCTCTAAGATGAGGGGTATCACAATAAGATACATGCGGGACCGGACTTTCCTCTATCTTCCTTTCTCTCTCCACCACAAAACAATTCTCTCTCTTCTTCTTATTCTCTTGGTCTCACAGCAATGCAAATCTCAACTAACTAAACATAGAGAAAAAACAAAAAACTCAGAATTCTGTAGAAAATAATAAATAATAATCATTCATTGTCCAAACTCACTCCATAAATAAATAATTATTTTCAACTCCAAAGCAAAATAATCATTCACTTTTTAGTAAAGAGAAAAATATATCAAAATTCTATAGAAATCATAGAAGAAAAAATTATTATTATTATTATTTTGCCATTATCATGTTTTACATGAATTCTATTAATTTTTGTATTTATGATTGTCTATATGTAATATTGGATTGCTAGGCATACTACCCTATGCATTGATAAAATTCCATAAGCAATCGAATTGAAAGTGATGAAAATAAAGATAAAAAAATTTAAAAAGACCTGTTAACCAAGCAATAAACAAAACAATTATATATTAGATACACACTGAATTCTTGACTAAAACTTTTAAGTTTTTAAAAGTAAATCTATATATATATATATATATATATATATAATTTTCTATTATAGTTTTCTGTGTGAAATTATAAAGATTTTACACTTATTGAAGACTAAACACTTATGGTTTAGAGACTCACACTTAGGGTTTTAAAATGGCGGCAGCCACAAGTAGTGGAGGAAAATGGTGGCAGCAAGTAATGCAAGGTGAAAACTAGGTTTCAGATAGAGGTTAGATATGGAGATGGAGAGAGATTTGTTTTGTCGTGAAGAGAGAAAGGAAGACAAATGATCATGTTGTAGAAAAAATAAAAATAAAATAAATAAAATAAAATAAAAAAACGATTTAACCCGTAAAAAATGGGTAATCCCCATTTTTAATTTTTTTTATTTTTCAGACTGACACATGTTCCAATGGCATTGAATCACATCAGATGGAGGATGAATTTCATCCTCCTATATGGAGAACCCAAGCATTGTCCTGAATATTATTTTTTTGTTTTTGTTTTTATTTTTTTCTTCGTTTTTTTAATGCTTATCTTAATTTTTTAGGTTGGCAAGGGTAGATGTAAGGATGGACAAATTTTTTTTTTACTATACTAATTTTTGGACCAAAAAAAAAATATATATATATATATATATATATATATATTAATAGTATTAGTCCACCCCAAAATCAAGCCCATTCAATCAAACCCAAGTCAACTCAGCCACCATACTAAAATAAAGGCCCAAGCCAAATAAGCCCATGACTAACCCTGACCCAAAGCGACAATGGGGCCTCAAAATTTATAGGCCCATGGATGATAGGCCACCAGAAAAATATATGTATATTTTTAGGGCAAGTCATTCCAGCCTCCCCAATTGCCCATATGTATATTTTTAGGGCAAGTCATTAATATATATATATATTAATAGTATTAGTCCACCCCAAAATCAAGCCCATTCAATCAAACCCAAGTCAACTCAGCCACCATACTAAAATAAAGGCCCAAGCCAAATAAGCCCATGACTAACCCTGACCCAAAGCGACAATGGGCCCTCAAAATTTATGGGCCCATGGATGATAGGCCACCAGAAAAATATATGTATCTTTTTAGGGCAAGTCATTCTAGCCTCCCCAATCGCCCATATGTATATTTTTAGGGCAAGTCATTCCAGCCTCCCCAATCGCCTCCATCTCTCTACTCGTTCTCAACTCTCTCTCTCTCTGCAACTGCAAACTACAAAATCTACGAGAATCATAAGTTCAAAACCCATATATTTCAGTTTATCTATCTGCTGCAAGAATCAAAAGTTCAAGACCTTTTACCTATATCAAAACCCATATCGGCATAACATTTCAGATTGTTCAAAAAATCAAAACCCGTATCTTTCAGTTTCCATCGCTAGCTGTTCCTGTTCGGGTTCGCCGTTCTCAAGCTTCAGCCGCTGGCCCGCTGTCTCTCAACTATCAAGCTTGCCACCTCTCTCTCTCTGCAACTGCTAACTTGTATGTATGCGTTTTGTTTTAAATTTTTTTCTAAATCAACTAATCAAAGTCTGTATTCTGTAATTCTTGTTTTGCAAACTAAATCCTACTTGGTGAAATTTTTTATGATCTTTTTATACAATTTTTTTTTTACAATATAAAGTAACCATTTTGAGGTAATCATTGCAAGTAATCATCGTAATCTACATTTTATTACAGCAAAACAAATATATATATTTTTATTTTTATAACTTCTATTTGATGAAAGAAGAGAGTTGATGGGAATGGGTGGAGTGGGCAAAAAAAATAGGTATGTTTTTTTTGCCTAGCTAATTGAATTATATAAATCATCTTACTGTTGTAGCAGTGATTTTTGTTTTTGTTTTTGTTTTCTTTTTCTTCGTTTTTTAATGTTAATCTTAAATTTTCAGCTTGGTCGACCAAGCTTTTACGAGAAGGTAGTATTCATGTCTATAATGAGCGCTATCCTTCCCAAGTAGATTTTTTTTCCCGTGTTGAATGTTCATACTTAGTGTTTTATTTCTCTTCATAAGAATAGCCTAGTGTTAGATTTAGAATAAATCACTTGTACTCTGTATGAGAGAAATAAAAGTCAGACACTGATTTTAATACCCTCTACTCTCTTAGAATAGATGAATGTTCGTGTAATTTGTTTTACTCCCTTATAGTTTTATCCCCTTATAATCAGGATTATGTGGATCAACAAAACCTTTTAGTTATGCTATATAAACTTCTTCTTGCAAAATACGGTAAATACAAATCTGGTATCGACTATAAGTAATAATCACTATTATCTCCGTATCGACTCAAGTTGTCTCGAATAGCAGTTAAGGGGCGACAGGTTTGCTTCATATCATACTACCGTATAAGTAGTGTGCTGATAATCCGAATGACCTACCGGTTCAAGATCCAAATCCGTTCTCGGTTCAGAATCCAAATGTGATTGGCCCGAATGACAACAACAACCCGGATGACAACAACCACCCGGATCCATGGGGATTCGACCTTCTCTTTGGGGTTAACTGCTTTTTTGTTTTTGTTTTTGTTTTCTTTGTTTTTTAATGTTGATCTTAAATTTTTAGGTTGGTAAACCCAGCTGGAGCAGGATAAGAAACAACTGCCTCATGGTCGACAACTTGGAGTTGAGGCGGCATAGGCTGGAGGCCGACATGGTATAGTTGGCCTGGGGTAGCCATTGACCATGGGTGGGATCATGAAGGTTTATGATGGGTAACAGTGCCCTCCATGGCAATGAGATCTTCATGTCTGTTATGCTTGGCACGCATAACATTGTCCCTCTCCAAGTGGGACAGCAAATCATTGTGAGAGCAGACATAGAAGGTCACGTAAGGCATATCACTGAGTAAGACTTTGAACAACAAATCATTGTGAGAGCAGACATAGAAGGTCACGTAGGGCATATTACTGAGTAAGACTTTGAAGAACATCATTTTTTTTTTCCTTTGTTGAATGTTCATCCTTACCCTTGAGTAGCCTAGTGTTACATTTAGAATAAATTACTTCTTGTACTCTGTATGAGGTGAAATAAAAGTCAGACACTTGGTTTTAATCCCCTTTACTTTTATTGGAATAGATAAATGTTTTTGTAATTTGTTTAACTCCCTTATAATTAGGATTATTAGGATTATGTGAATGAACAAAACATTTTGGTTATGCTATATAAACTTCTTCTTGCAAAATACGGTGAATACCATTAAAAAAAAAGTCATTTTTACATTCATTTGAAATAATTTGAATTTAAAGTGACGAGAAATAAGAACTTATTCGAATTCCCTATGAAGTCGTGAATGAAAATACCTCAATTAAGGTAAATATTGTATCACTGGATCTTTTTAATGTATAAAGATTAAATTTTTGAAAGAAAACGAGAGTTTTGTATTATTTTATATGTATTACTATTTTTGAATTTTGTTTTATTAGGTAGTAATTTTTTTATTTCATGTGGTAGGGTATAAAAACAATGGTGATTGTTTTGGAAAGTGTGTGCGTGTGTGTATATATATATATATATATATTGGGTTTCAATTTAAACCGCAAGAGTATATATTGGCTTTCAATTTATCAAATGAACCAGCTGGGCTCAATTCCATTACAATTCATGTGTAAAAAGAAATCGTCAATTTTTTTGACAGAACAGTTTCTTCCATTTCTCAAAATTCTCTCTCTAAAAAATCAATTGACTCGCAATATACAGGATGTGACATTCATTATACCGCCAAAGAATAAGGGTGGGGATGGTGAGGAGCTGATAGATATCGCACATGAGCTTTCGTTGATGAATATTCGACTCATAAATCAAAGCAGCCTGCTGGTTCGCCGCCTTGATGGCCCTCCTGGAAAGAGCTTCATTATCCATCCCAACACCCTTTCCACCACCTAGTTAGAAGGACAAGCAAATTATCATATTTAAAACTAAATTAAGGATGCATAGAGAGACCTACAGATTACCTATATAGGCAATCCTCAAACATTCTTCACTCTCAAGGATGTTCCACAAACAAGGACAAGCTGAATACATATTGTACATCACATTTTTACATGTAGTTTTGCTTTACTGTGTTAAGCTGACCTAAATATTGACTCTGCTCGAACCAAATATTGAGCCCCGAACAAGTATTGACCACTTTAAGGTTGTTAACACTTCCATCCGCACATTTTTTACACATGTACACTTGCACATGTATTTACCAACAAAAGAACACCACCCATTATCCTAAATTTGAATGGGGCCAAGCAGGACATACATAGGCATGAAATGATATCGCATTCAAAGTTAATCACCAAATTGCTCAGCACATCGATAAATTCATATAATACAGCTCATTAACCACAAAATTTTAGTATGGGCTACCAGAATTTTGGGCACTAGTACAAGTCATATCCATTTAAAATCTCGGCTAACAAACTTGATTGGCAATACAACTAGCCAGCTTCATATTTAATGAAATCAAAAAAAAAAAAAAAACATGTATTTTCCAGGCTAGAATGACATGTAACAGAAAACCAACGGAATTAAATACCTAGATCCTCTGTAGAAGTTGACATATCTTTCTTACTAGGATGACTCTTGCTAACATCAATGAACTTCCCATTTGCATAAGCTTTCCGTAACTTCTCTTGCAAGAGTTTTTTTCCTGGCCAATTGGATAACAGTGAGATAAGCAAACACATCAAGTGAACAAAACATCTATGGAGTAATTTCAAGATTTCTGATGAATAAATATGTAAAATAACACAAGAAAGTTTTGAAGACAACACTAGAGCATCATGAGAGGGTGTAACTTTAATATTTATATCCTTCAACAGCCTCCTCATGTGTGTCCTTTTTTTAGTCCAACACGTCATTTTCAATTTTTTAATTAGGATAACGGTGAGGTTCGAATTCGAGACATTTGACTCTGATACCATATTAACAACCATCTACTCCAAAAGCTTAAGCTGTTGGGGAGGATGTAACTTTAATATTTATATCCTTCAATAGTAACAAAGAGTAAATCTACAAGTGAAGCAAGGTCATTCTTGGATGTATTTTGGATGTTTCGTGAAGAACTATTACCCTTGAGCATCAGAATTCAGACAGTGACTTATCCATGGGGTCCATTGGGTATGCCTCATTCCTCTAGAGGGTTGATTGAGGTTTGGAGAGGTGTCTCTGTTGGGGCTTTCATTCCGGATGCTTGGAGGGCTACGCCTCTTTGGATTTGATGATGCATTTGACTCGAGAGAAATCAGAGATATTTTGATGGAAAGGAGAAACATATTTCTATGCTTAAGTTCTTTATTATTTTCACTCTTTTTTGTTGGGTCTCAGAGAAAGATTATAGATCTATTGAGGAGATTATTGTTCTTTTTGGCCTCTTTGAAGGTTTGAGGCGAATGAACAGCAGTACCTTTGGGAACAACTACTTTGATCAATTACTTGCCATCAGCAGCAGATATAAATTCTTTATATGATTCCAGGCTTCCAGTTAAGTTTCTAATATGAGGTCTTTATAATGCATTCGCACTGTTAATCTCTTGTCTCCATATACTCTTGTTAATGTAGACAAATTCAAGATGGCAATCATTGCCAATAAGTGAGGGATGACCATAAAACCCCAAAGAAAATGCCCGAGACCTTATTAAGGGGAAATATTTCTATTTTGATGATGAAATCCTAAGAAGCATAAACACTTGTGACAAGAATCGTATCCGCATTCAACACTTGCACTTCTGAAACATTCACCGACACGGGTCTATAGAATAGAATATTTACATAATGTTGGCAACTAGAGATTTTGAACAACCATCATGTTCCTGGATAATCTAAAGGAAAATAAATATAGGAACTTTTTACTGAATTGAATCACAATATAATTGATTGTTCTTAAAATAAAGAAAGTTGAGGGGGTGAAAACATGAGACTGAATAATTGAGATGTAATTGCTCTTAATCTCTTAGTCATCAAACAAAATTTGTTATAGAGATTCCTTCATACTCTTTTTTTTTTTTTTTTTTTGATAAATGACTCCTTCATACTCTTTTTATCCTATTCTTTAATAACATTTCCTACTAGTATGACTAAAATTTGATAGGTAAGCACAATAAGCTGCTAACCTTCTTGTAAAGCCTCAATAGTTGACTGCAAATCTTGACGCTTTTTTTCAAGGCTTGACATTTTCTTTCTGCAAGATTCAACAGGGAAAGGCTATAGTAAAATATCTAAAAAATATATATATGGAGAAGTTACGAGGAAATAGAACAAAAATAAACACTCCCTTCTCCTCCTATAGCATGTCATACAAGCAAGGATGATCATATTTAATAATAATAAAAATTAAAAATTAAAAAAAAAAAAGAAAAAAAAGAAAGAATTCTCACACTCATTAATTACAAGCCATTACCAAACTAATTATGCATATTTAAAATGAAAAAATCTCAACTCAAAGATTTATCCCAACTTTGGAGACATGAATCGTGTTTCATCATTCCTCAATTTCTATTCTAGGGTTGTAATCTTAGTTAAATAATATGCTACCATGTCTTTCCTTTCAATCTTAAAAAACATGAAATTGTGTCTTTTCCTTCCCTAAAATGTTAACAAAATGTCTAGCTTTACATATAGCTCACAAAATGAAAATAAAACCTTCTTTATAAAAAGCTTTAGGCAATTTCCTCAGTTCACAAAAGAAACAGATTACTCAGACACAAAAATCTTTACAAAAGCAACAAAAATCAGAGGAAATGAAGATGGAGATCACAAAAAAATTTAAAAATTAAAAAATATATAAAAATAAAATAACTTTTAAGATGGTAATGCATACTTCAATGAAGAAATTTCAGCTTGTGAGTTCTCCAGTAGCCTCTCCAGTTTTAGCTCACTTGATCTCAGTCTGAGTATCTGCACAAAAATATTAGATAGTAAAAAAAAAAAAAAAAATGAAGAAGAAGAATAAGAAGAAGAAAGAAAGAAAGAAAAGAAAAAGGAAAAAGACCAGACCATGGTTAATATGATGTATGAAAAAGGTTTGTTCAACCAGCAAAGAAGAAGAATACTCTATTGTAAATTATAAAAACCATTTTGCCCTTGGGGGCTTATTGTTGAAAACGGGAGCAATAAAAACATAAATTTTGGATGAGATTTGGAATAGACTTCGTTAATAATTTTTGCGGATCTCTAGACGAACGCATTTCTCTCCGTAAGGAGATGAACGTGGTATATTTATTTTTTCAAATCCGTTTCCGAGTGAATGAGAAATTAGCTCCAAAGTGTAGTGTTTTGATAAGCCTAAATGGGTATGCAAAATGTGGGAAGTGTTTGTCCCACATGGAAAAAATGTTGAAACCAATTGAAATTTAAATAAGCCAAATTTGGGCTTGGGCTTGGGTTTGGGCCTAATTGTAAAATCCAATTATTCTTTTTACTAAATGGAATCTTGGATTGGGCCTTTAATTTTAGGCTGGGCTTATTTAAATAGGTGGTTGGTTTTTGAATTTAAATTAAAAGTTAGTTTTTTTTCTAAAGGGTTGCATCTATTTCTAAATGGTTGTATCTGTTTTTCAAAGAGTTGCATCTGTTTCTAAAGGGTTGCAACTCAAAACCAACAGACATAACTATTCATGTGAACCATTGCAACCTATTGGAGTGGATGTGTCTATTGGTGAACAAACACCATGTGAACCATTGCAACCAATTGGAGTGGATGTGTCCAATGTGAAGAGACACATATATATATATGGTTATATCCAATGATGAAGAGACATACCCACCCAAAAAGGCACCTTGTTGCCTATAAATACCCCATATGGATCATTTGCAAATCATTCATTTCATTTTCTTCTATCTTCCTCTCTAGACTTGAACCCAATCCAAGTGGGTTCAAACCATACGTTAAGTGGTCCGAGCCACTTAGACCCTAATCCAATTTCATCAAGCCATATTAAGATTGGTCTGAACCATTTGGTTCGGATTGTACCCAATTCAACATTTATATAGTATAGATGCATTTTTGAGTTAGAGAGAGTATTACACGGAGAAGGTTCGTCGTATCCACGAGTTTTTAGTGCTGCTACTAGTGGATGTTAACCGTTGTATCCTGCGAGATAGACGCCACTGAGTCCGTTAGCACCATAGCGGGGCGAATCTGTCTTAAGGACATGATATCCAATACTAGTCCCGGTCCAGGTTCTTTATTTATTTATTATTATTATTATTTTATTGCTTTAATTTGCATGTTTAATTAAATATCTGGTTGAATATTTAATTAATTATTTTTAGCATATTACAAATATCTGATTGCATATTAATATAGAGTTAGTTATATCTTAAATGTCACATGAAGCATATATTTACTAACACTTATTTGGTCTATTTTTTATCTTTTCTTCCACGTTCGTTCTCGTTGAGTTCTCTGGCCTCATGGAAGGTCACTTTGGCATCTTAGAGATGCATTGCATCTCTAGAGACTTGGTTTCTGTTTTCACTTCTGCATTCGGATCTGTTATCGGGTCAAACTTCAATTCATCACAGGATGCGCTGACTTGAAAATAACTAGGGCCGTCACACAACGATATTTCATGCTTTGAGATAGTGTGCCGATATTCCAGATGTGGTTGGCCCAGGTGATCTACCAGATGGTGCCGAGCCGGATGACGATGATGATGGCACGTGCCCGAATGACAATGATGGAAATAATAGAGACGGCGATGATGGCGCCAACCCGGAGGACGACCCGGTTGACAACCCATGGGATGTGACCATCTATTTGGGGTATAAATATTATTGTTTTTGTTTTTGTTTTTATTTTTTTCTTCGTTTTTTAATGTTTATCTTAATTTTTTAGGTCGGACAACCCAATTGGAATCCGATCAGAAACAATTGTCTGCTGGTGGACAACCTTGAACTCATAATAGGTTACAAGCTGATTTGGCTAATAATCTCCAACATGTTGAACCGATCATATGGGAAATTGTCATGCTAATAGAGCAAGTAGACTAATTAAGGATGAGGACAATTGATTTAATGGAGAAACTAAATGTAGAAAGTGTGATAAAGATGACTTCGCTGTTTGATGTAGTGTGTCTGGTTGATTCAGGTGAGAACCACAATATCCCCTCCCATTTTAACCTCGAATTATGCTATTTAATTTCTGAATCAACAACTCTGAATCTCACAGGTCTGGAAGGGCTCAACTAGCACATACACTCTGTGTTTCTACACAGGTTTATTTTTTTACTCTCTCAATTTGGAATTAGTATTATGAAGTGTGGGCTGGATTTCACTTATAAATTTGCCCAGCCCAGAGCCCAGTTATATTATATGTTCTAGCAATGCAATTATTATGAAGTGTGTGGCTAGGCTTTAATTATAAATTTGCCAATTTGCCCAGCCCAGAGCCCAGGTGATATTATATGTTATAGTAATGTAAGTATTATGACTTGTGGGTTGGGCTTTAATTTTAAATTTTCCAATTTGCCCAGCACAGAGCCCAGTGAAATTTATGTTCGTCATTTTCAAATTGTGGACTCAGTGGTTATTCCATATCGACTTGATTTCTCTAAAATAGAACTTAAAGCCCACCAGGTTTTCTTCACATCATACCTTATAAGTAATGATGCTATGTTGGCAGATATCTAACACAACTATATTTCATGCTCTGATATAGTGTGCTTATAAATTATCCAGATACGGTCGGCTCGGGTGATCTATCAGACGGTGTCGAGTCGAATGACGACGATGATGGCACGGGCCCGGATGACAATGATGGAGATGATAGCGACGACGATGATGGCGCCAACCCAGAGGATAACCCGTGTGACGACCCAGGGGATGGGACCATCTATTTGGGGTATAAATATTAGGATAATGCTTGGGTCCTCCATTCATCCTCCATATGATGTGGTCCAATATCATTGAAACATGTGTCTAAAAATTAAATTAAAGATAGATAATACCCATTTTTTACAGGTTAAACCGTTTTTATTTCCCTTTTTTTAAATTTTTTTTTTTATTCTTTCCTTCTTAAACATGATAAGATACGTGCGGGACCGGACTTTCCTCTATCTTCCTTTCTCTCTCACTGCAAAACAATTCTCTCTTCTTCTTCTTATTCTCTTGATCTCATAGCAATACAAATCTCAATTAACTAAACATAGAGAAAAAACAAAAACTCAGAATTCTGTAAAAAATAATAAATAATAATCATTCATTGTCCAAACTCGCTCCATAAATAAATAATTATTTTCAACTCCAAAGCAAAATAATCATTCTCTTTTTAGTAAAGAGAAAAAAATATCAAAATTCTATAGAAATCATAGAAGAAAAAATTATTATTATTATTATTATTATTATTATTATTTTGCCATTATCATGTTTTGCATGAATTCTATTAATTTTTGTATTTATGATTGTCTATATGTAATATTGGATTGCTGGGCATACTACCATATGCATTGATAAAATTCCATAAGCAATCGAATTGAAAATGATGAAAATAAAGATAAAAAAATTTAAAAAGACCCGTTAACCAAGCAATAAACAAACAAATTATATATTAGATACACACTGAATTCTTGACTAAAACTTTTAAGTTTTTAAAAGTATATATATATATATAGTTTTCTATTATAGTGTTCCGTGTGAAATTATAAATATTTTACACTTATTGAAGACTATACACCTATGGTTTAAAGCCTCACACTAAGGGTTTTAAAATGGAGGCAGCCACAAGCAGTGGAGGAAAGTGGTGGCAACAAGTAGTGCAGGGTGAAAACTAGGGTTTCAGATAGAGGTTGGATATGGAGATGGAGCGAGATTTGCTTTGTCGTGAAGAGAGAAAGGAAGACAAATGATCGTGTCGTCAAAAAAAAAAAAAAAAAAAAAAAAAAAAAAAAAAAAAAAAACACCGATTTAACCCGTAAAAATGGGTAATCCCCATCTTTAATTTTTATTTTTATTTTTTAGACTGACGCATGTTTCAATGGCATTGGATCACATCAGATGGAGGATGAACTTCATGCTCCTAGATGGAGAACCTAAGCATTGTCCTGAATATTATTTTTTTGTTTTCGTTTTAATTTTTTTCTTCTTTCTTTTAATGCTTATTTTAATTTTTTTGGTTGGCAAGGGTAGATGTAAGGGTGGACAAAAATTTTTTTTACTATACTAATTTTTGCTTAACCCACAAAAAAATAAAATAAAATTATTAATAGTGTTAGCCCACCCCAAAATCAGGCCACCCAATCAAGCTCAAGTCAACTCAGCTACCATACTAAAGTAAAGGCCCAAGTCATATAAGCCCAGGGCCAACCCTGACCCAAAGCCAAAATAGGGCCTCAAAATTTATAGGCCCATGGATAATAGGCCACCAGAAAAAAAATATTTATATTTTTAGGGCAAGTCATTTCAGCCTCCTCAATCGCCTCTTATGTTTTTAGGGCAAATCATTCCAGCCTCCCCAATCACCTTCATCTCTCTTCTCGTTCTCAATTCTCTCTCTCTCTCTCCAACTGCAAATTACAAAAAATCTACGAGAATTAGAAGTTCAAAACCCATATATTTCAGTTTATCTATCTCCTGCAAGAATCAAAAGTTCAAAACCTTTTACCTATATCAAAACCCATATCGGCATAACATTTCAGATTGTTCAAAAAATCAAAACCCATATCTTTCAGTTTCCATCGCCCGCTGCTCCTGTTCGGGTTTGCCGTTCTCAAGCTTCAGCCGCTAGCCCACTGTCTCTCAACTCTCAAGCTTGCCCCCCCTCTCTCTGCAACTGCTAACTTGTATGTATGCGTTTTATTTTAAATTTTTTTCTAAATCAACTAATCAAGGTCTGTATTCTGTAATTCTTGTTTTGCAAACTAAATCCTATTTGGTGAAATTTTTTAAGATCTTTTTTATATAAATTTTTTTTTTTTTACAATATAAAGTAACGAAATTTGCATTGCATTTTGAGGTAATCTTTGTAGGTAATCACCGTAATCTACATTTTATTTCAGCAAAACAAATATATATATTTTTATTTCTTTAACTTTTTTTTTTTTTTGTCAATTATATCTACAAGAAAATTTGAATCTGGGCATGAAAAAAAAAAAAAAAAATCTAAATTGCATTAGAAATCTGCATAGATTGAATCTGAAAGAATTTTTATCAACATGCCAAGGGAAATCTTTTCAGAGCTAAAAAAAACCATAACAAGAACTTTGACAAGCAAAAGTACTTAATATAGGGTAAAGCTCTAAAGTTACTTCTTGAAAATTTAAATACTTACAAAAAGCATGCTTTTGAGTGAGTTCCGTAGTGTTGGAAGGGGCTTGCCATGAACTACCACACACTCTGCTTCCACTAGTAGATTCTCAAATAGGATTAGTAAATTCTTCAAAAGAAGAGATAGGGTACTGAGTGGTGAGTTGTTCAGAAATAAATTGGTAATTTTTTTTATTAATTGCCCAAATAGGATTTTCTATGCCTTAATCAGTCAATTGTCTAAAGAAATATTGTTAGTTAACTAAAATTGAATTAAACAACAATTGATTTTGGTTGATATATTTTGATTTAGCTGGATCCGCCTTTGTGATACTAATAATGTTTTGTTTCACATAGAAATACAATCTGTGTAATGCACTAAGGATATATTCAATCTTTCTGCCATATTTTTATTTTCAAATTTTGGTTTTTGATTTTCTTTTGTTATTAGAATGCAGAATATTATGATATTGATTTGTTAATTTTGAAGATTATTCCTAAATGATGCATTGTACTTTGTTATTGGATTAATTTAACATAAGAGTTGAGTATAATATGTGGCAATCACACCTCTTTCTACGGATAGGTCTCCAACATTTTGACTGAAAGCATAGTTGGGTTGGGTTGATACACGATATAGATTGTGGTGTTTTAATTGTTATGAGTGAGATTTGTCAAACCACCAAATTACAAATTCTGAGTTTCAACAAGAGTATATCCAAAGAAAACAAGGGTTGAAGTAGTTTTTAGTTTAGCTTACAGTTGCCAGTTTGAAGAGAGCCTTGCATTCCTAAGCATGCTAACTCTATTTTGTTTCATTAATTCTTTCTTTATTTCTTTGTTTCTGATGCACACTTTCTTATTTCTTTACACTTAGAATAGCCTTCCTTAATTTATAATTATAGTAACATAAAAGCTAAAGCATGTAGTTCCTATTTTGTAGCATAACTACTGCATAAGACTCAGCTTAAATGAAGACTAGACTTATAAATTTGAATATCTATGTCATGTTCGATTTTCTATTAATGGTTAATAAGTTGGTGTATATGTCTTAAGATGACTGTTCGTGTTCATTCTAGCTTCTCGTGTTTATGGTTATCTTGTTCTGAGATTTGTAACTGTAATTCTTGTTTTGCAAACTAAATCCTATTTGGTGAAAATTTTTATGATCTTTTTTATATACTTTTTTTTTTTTTATGAATTTTAGTTATAAATATTTGTGAAGATAATGACTGAAACAGGATCTCCCTTTGCAGGATTTGAAAGACTAATTGGTAAATTTGGGTTGAACTTTAGTCTTGAACAAGCTGAAGGCCCTTATTGTGGATTATAATTTTTACAATTACAGCACCCTACGGTCTTACCATATTTTAGAGTGCTTTCATCACTTCATACTGGTAAGTCATATCTTCAATTATTTAAATATATATATATATATATATATTTTATTCCAGTTTTTTTCATGCTAATAATAAATTGGATGTTAACCGCGTGAAGCATAAATCTGTCAATTAAGACAGGCACCCAATTGTATATGAAACAAAGTACAATATAAAGTAACAAAATTTATTAATATATAAACAACAAAATTTTCATTTTTTTATTTTTTTATGTTCTTTTGTGTGTGTGTGTTTGTGTTTGAAGGTTGAAAGATTTGTGTAGTTATTTAGTTGTAGAAGCAACAAAAACACTTCCAGTGCTTCCCAAAAATAAAAATCATCATTATCATTAAGTTGTCATAAAAATTTATTTGAAAAAGGATTTTTCAATATTATTTATTTGACTCGAGAAACTGATGTTATTAATATTTGTGGGCCAATTTGGGCGCTTAATTGGTAATTGATTGTGTGTTTGAATTTTGAATGTCCTAGATTCAAAGGTGGAAGCCACATAAACTTGCACTGAGAATGGCATAGACTTTATAAGTTGTAACCTTCCAGCACAAAATGAGTAGTTGGTAGTCCAAAACTCCTCAATTAAAGGATCACAGTGCTGCTTATTCAGTCTATTAGACAATAAGGAAACTCCCAAATATCTAATTGGGAGGGTCCTAATAGAGAAATTAAGCTTTCTGAGAATTAGGTTTTGAGTAGCAGTCTCTATACCAGATCAGAATATGACACCTCTTTGCATTATTTGGAATCAAACTAGAAATAGAAGTTAAAACTAAATTAAGCTATTGATTCTGTCAGTATTTTAACAGATTCAACATCCCAGCTGCGATTAACATAAGATCATCAACAAAAAGGTCCATTACTTATCCTCTGAGCTGAGCATTTGCAATGGTAATCGAAACCCCCTAGAGTTATTCTCTAATTCAAAATACGAGGTAGAACCTTCATTCCTATAACAAATGGTATGAGGACATTGGATCCTTCCTCCTTCCCTTATTAGGTAAACCATACGACCATTAACATCCAAGGAAAAGAACTTTAGAACAATTTCAATAAAAGAAATAAAAATAAAAACTGTAAGTGTTTTTTTTTTTTTCCTTTTATCTGTTCGATTGGGTTAAGTGATGCTTTATATATGCTTCTTTTAGTGTGTTTTACCTATCATTAACGTGCTTAGTTGGATTAATTCTGAAGAATGTGTATTGAATTAATGAATTAGGAATATATGAGTACTCCCAAGTGCCTTTGTAAGCTAGCAGATTTGAGATTGAATCTTTTCAACATGTAATGTGTAGAAGTGCAAATTGGTAAATTTAAGTTGGACTGTTATGTGATGGATTAACTTAATTGATTTTGTATACTCTCTGTTTGACTCCTTTTTTGTTAATGTTGAATTCACCAGAAGGAGTCACCCAACGCTCATGATATTTGAGCTTGTTTCATCACTAGCAATATAAAAGGCAATGTAACCTTGTTCTATTTACTTGAATTATGTCCATATATGTGCTCTATCCTTCCTTTTTGTATCTAATGTGCCCGTGTTGGTAATTTATTTGTAGATGTTGAATACCCGGCGTTCTCCAAATAAATTCAAGGAAACGGTTTGCAATTTAAGTGAGGACAAAAAGGTTGCCGTACAAGAGATTGGGTTTGGGTCCCTTTTAGACATCGAGTGTACCATTTTGAAGCACAACCTGTGCTTATGGTTGGTAGAACACTTTGACCCTAGAACATCTCATCTCACCCTTGAATCTGGCGTTCGGATCCATGTTACGCCAAGTGACGTTGAAGAGGTACTTGGCCTACCCTCGGGAAGAGGAGAAGATGTGCCAAATTATATTATACAAAGTGTGCATTGGTTAGAAAATGGCATTTTTTTAAAGGACGGTGCAATAGAAGTGCCAAACTTAGTGCATCAATTAGACGTTCTTCCTGTTGGGGATGACTTCAAGAGGGCTTTTGTCCTTTTCGCTTGCGGATCACTTCTAGCACCCATATCGAAAAATGAGAAAAGCAAAAGGTTATTGGCAGCGGTTGACAATGTGGATGCTATTAAATCATACAATTGGGGGAAGTTTGTTTTAGATTGGTTGAAAAAAGGAATTGCGTCCTATAAAGGAAAGGAAGGAAGAGAAAGTTGTACATACATACATGGATGCTTGTTCTTTCTCATGGTATGTTCTAAGATATAATATTTGTAATGTGTCTATCATTTTATTTTAAATAGCTATAATGTCATTATCATAATGGCTTATATGTTGTAGCTTTTCTACCTACACCGTGTGGATGTCAATGGACCAAAACCGAAGCCTGAGATGCCATGCCTACGTGGATGGACCAACAAATTAATAGGCGAGAGGTTGAAATTGGAGAAGCGTAAATATAATGGTTTCGGCTTCGGTGAGGTAAAGTTTACAACTGATACATCTGAAGATGCCAATAAAGTAATCACGTCAATTATGGCTTTTTATAATTGGTACTAAATATACGGTTATATTTGCATATTCATAATTACTTGCAACTCTACGGTTACATTTATATATTAACTGATATATATATTTATTAAACTTGTTTAAAATTGTTAGGAGTTGGCATATGAAATTATTACAGTTGTTAAGAAATGGAAGCAACGGCACAATGTAGGCCAAGGCAGGGGGTCGAGATCCTCAGAACCCAGTTCATCCACACGACAACCTAACCCATCTTCGCAATTGTTTGCACAACACCATCCGATGGAGGAGGAAGATGAATCCCACATACCAGTGGAGGAGGAATTCGAAACCTCCACAAGACAACCAAACTCACCCTGGCAATCTCAAACAAAACACGATCCCATGGAGGAGGAAGGAGAAATCCCCGCACCAATGGAGGAGGAAGTGGGAACCTCCACAGCAATGGAAGAGGAGGGTGATGTGCAGGAAGCAATGATCCCCTTATTACGTGTTATAAAGCCTGGGCGCCAAAAGGGATCACCTTGGGTTGAAATAAAGGTCAACCGATTGCGTGTCCTTCGTCCAGAAGCAAAGGCAGTCATCGCATATGCCATAGATGAGAGCAGAAATGATGAGTGAGAAATTATATAAATAATTTTTTATTTGCTCTATATTTACTTACTTTCTATGCTCAAACACTTAATATATTAT